GACTGTTCTGAGAAGAGGTAGGGAGAGAGGGGCCTCCGCCTGTTGGTGCTCGGCGGTCCACTGGCAGCGCACCCAGGCGGGCAGAGCCTGGTCGCTGGTCGGGTCGGCGAACAGGTCGGCGTAGAAGGCGCGGGTCAGCTCGCAGCGGGCCTGCACGGCGCTGGCGCTCTGGCCCTCGTCCGTCTTCAGCTCGCAGACGGGCTTGCCAGGGCGATAGGGTCTGTCCGCCCGCCCCCTCGCGCACAAGCGCTCCAGGTGGACCGCGTTGCAGCGGCCCCTCAGGGCGCGCTTGGCGCTGGCCACCGTAGGCCCCAGCAGGTGCCGCACGCGCAAGTACGTCTCCTGCGCGCGCAGCTGCTCCAGGCGCTTCAGGCGGAGGAGCTCAAGGTCGCCCTGCGGGGGCCGCCAGCGCCCACGCCGAGGGGCGCGGCCGGCCACGGCTGCGCCGGCGGAGACCGCCGTCGACAGCGCGGAGATGGACGGGCTGCCCTGTCTGGAGCACGCGGCCAGCCGCGGCTGCGGGTTGAAGAGCTGCGCAAAGGTGTCGCCGCCATCCCCCCTGGCTCTCTCGGAGCAAAATCGTTTGCGGGCTCTAGTCTCGGCGAGCTCATGTTCACTAACTCGTTGGCGATGCCCATCAGCCCCCCAGTCGTGGGCGGGGCAAGGCCGTCTCCAGCGGGCAGTGTCGAAGCGCCTGTCCGCGCCCCTTTTCGCCCAGAAGTCCGCCTTCTCGTTGCCTAGGTTGCCGCTGTGGCCCTTGACCCAGCGGATGCGCACATCAAAGTGCAAGGCGGCCCGCTTCCACGAGCGCGCGGCCAGAATCGCCGAGGAAGCATACTCGCGTGGCTGAAAAAAAAAACTTCAGCGAGGAGCCCCTGGACGTACGTCGAAACGGCGATCACCTGGATTAGCCCGCCGTCCTGGGCCGTCGGCTCTGAGGGGCCGCGCTGCCCCAGCAGCGGCAGGAGCGCCTCCGCGATCGCCGAGAGCTCGCCCGCGTTCGCCGCGAGGGCACAGGCGCCCAAGAAGCGGGGATCCAGGTGGCGGGTGACCACGGGGCCGCACGCCTCGACCATCGGCTCGCCCTGGTCGCGCGGTGTGGCGGCGCGGTAGACGGCGAAACCCCAGCCTGCGCAAGCAGCCTGGCGCTGCCCACGCCGTCGCCCCCGCGCCGAGCCGTCCGAGAAGATGCCCAGCGCGTTCGCGAGGTCGCCCTCGGTGAAGCCGCCCATCGCGGTCGGGATGTGCGGCACCTGCAACGTCGAGCAGGCCGTCTCATTGAATAAGTGGGCGTCCTCCAGCAACCAAGCAACGGGCTTGCACGGCGGCCGTTCCATCATATCAGCGCCCTCGAGGGCCTGCTCGGGCTCGGTGATCGTCGGGGTGGCCTTGGACGCGTGGCAGCGCAGCAGCAAGGGGAGATGGTAGCTCTGCCCTGCATCCGTGAAGCGAGCCTGGCACGTCGCTGAGGTGAGCCAGTCGCGGTGGCACAGCATGAAGTCGATCTGGCCTGGCTCCTTTCGGTTGCCATAGTAGCACGCAGCCTGTCCCCACTGTCCTCGGGAGAAGGTGTTGGTAGCAACAAGGTCGAATTCAATCATCAAGTCGAACAGCATTTCGCCCCGCCAGGTCATCTTGGCAGCCGAGTGTTGGCCAACCGCCTCTCCGTCTCCAATCCCCGGGCCATCCTGGGCGTCAGCGCTGACTATGGCGTGGCAATCAATAGGCATTGTAATCAGACACTCCCTGAGCTGCGCAATGGTCTCAGCGCACTAACAACGAACGATATGCGAGAACTGGTGGCTAGTAATCAGACGAACACGTCCCCAGATAGGTAGCTATAAGTCCAGGGACATGGCGCGAGTGTGGAAGCTCGGGGGGCTCACGATGGATGGAACCA